TGGGTCCCTCGCCTGCGGCCCCGTCGGGGCCCGAGACACGTGAAAACACATGCCGGACGCACGCGTGCCGAGACCCATGTTGGAGACCCCCCCACTCCGCACACGTATCTTTGCGTGTCCAATTCCGACGCCTGCTGCTCGACATCCTTCTGGTGGGAGGCCTTGGCCCGCAAGATAAGCGAAAACCGTGGGCCAGAGCCCCCACCAAGAAAAAATTCAAAACTTTCACGGGTGGAGGGCGGGCAGCTCTCGAAACGTGGCTCTCGCGTTAACGCTGCGGCCGCTCGTCCTCGACGCTTGCAGGAGCTTCACGCGTGGAGGGCAGGACTTTTCCAAGCTGTGGGTTTCGCCTGAGCGCCGCGCAAGCTCGTCGTAAGAGTGTACAACAAGTTCAAGGATTCTTCTGGTTCACGCCCCAGAGGTGTAGGACTGTCAGGAATGGTGTTCTGGCGCGATTCAGGATCTTCCGAGCGCCGTGCAAGCTCGTCGTAAGAGTGTACAACAAGTTCAATGATTCTTCTGGTTCACGCCCCAGAGGTGTAGGACTGTCAGGAGTGGTGTTCTGGCGCGATTCAGGATCTTCCGAGCGCCGTGCAAGCTCGTCGTAAGAGTGTACAACAAGTTCAATGATTCTTCTGGTTCACGCCCCAGAGGTGTAGGACTGTCAGGAATGGTGTTCTGGCGCGATTCAGGATCTTCCGAGCGCCGTGCAAGCTCGTCGTAAGAGTGTACAACAAGTTCAATGATTCTTCTGGTTCACGCCCCAGAGGTGTAGGACTGTCAGGAATGGTGTTCTGGCGCGATTCAGGATCTTCCGAGCGCCGTGCAAGCTCGCCGTAAGAGTGTACAACAAGTTCAATGATTCTTCTGGTTCACGCCCCAGAGGTGTAGGACTGTCAGGAAGGGTGTTCTGGCGCGAATCAGGATCTGCCGGACGCAACGGTACAGCTGATTCGCGGAGCTGGCCCAGGAATGCTGTTCTGGCACGGCCCAGGATCTTCGGACGGCTGTCTTCCAACGGGACACTGCCCTCAGTGAAGGAACCCTTCTAGGGCCCCATGAAACGGGAGCCTCGAGGGAGGGTTTACTGCAACATCGTTGGTGAATCTCAGGTCGACACTGGTCCTCCTCCTACTTCTCCTCGTCCTCCTCCTCATCCTCCTCTTTCTCCTCCTCCCTCTCCTCCTCCTCCTCCTCGTCCTCCTCCTCCTCCTCCTCCTCTTCCTCCTTCTCTTCCCGTTTCTCTCGTTTCTTGTCTACGAGGGGAACGGGGGGAGGAAGATAACAGGAAAGCGATCCACGTGGTGAGACGATCGTCCCCGACCCCTTCGTCCCTACGCGTCCTTCTCCTCCTTCTCCTCCCCTTTCTGCCCCCTCCTCCGTTTCACCCACTTATTCCTCCATCCTCTTTCATTGCACGAACCTCCTCCTTGTCAGCGCCACCATACGTGTCGGTGAACACGTCGAAGTTAATATATTTTCGACATGCTCCAAGCTCGACGCATGAGCTAGGACAGTTCGGGGAGCGTGGCCAATTCAGACGATCTTCGTGGGGTGATCGTGGGATTGTAAATAACTGAAGAGGATCGGGGATGCTGGAAACGTTTGGGAATACATGCAGTATTGTAGATGTTTGGGCAATTTGCGAAAGTGTTCGCCACGAGACTACATGGGGCTTCGCGGTCCTTTCGGTACTCGACTGCCTTTTATGGCATTCAACCTTGGCGTTCCTAGCGCTCATGTAACGAAAGGTGCAAGAATGGGCGGTGGGGCATGTTCATGATCTGACTCTCGGTTGATTCCTACTCGCAATGCATGTGTCTGAAGTGCGAGTTTCTTGACGGACGCATGGGTGGCATATTGTTTTCAAGCTGTAGTTATGTGAGCGCGTACGTACTGACAGAAGAGAAAAAGGCAAACAATGACGGAGACAGATTACGGTGTTTATGGTAATGCGGCCACGCGCTCCGCATGCTGGGTAAGTGGCCCCGCCAAGCCAGTCTGTCCAGACGTCCAGACCTGTAGATCCTGGGCGGCCTTCCTGTCGCGCGGGGCGGCCGCCAAGCCATTGAATAATAGGAGCAACGGGCGCACCAAGCCGCCGCCGCCCCCCAGGGACGTCACCCGGCCACACGCATGAGTGACCCTGGGTAAGAGTGACCCTCCCGCTGCCGCAAGTTCTCGACCTCCCGCTTCAGGTGCTCCACCGGCAAGACCTGATGCGAGGCCTTCCAAGCTGGGAGCACCACCTGCAGCGCCGGGCGCCCCTGTGCCGCCCCGCTGCGACACTGTGCGACCGTCAGGGGCCGTGGCGGCATCCGCGCGCGCGCGCGCCCGCGCCGCCGAGTAGTGAGCGCGCTCGTCTCCGCGCGCGCCGGGAGCCGAGAAGGGCTGCGGTCACCTGCGTCCTTGTCGCTTCGTCTCGCTCGTTGTCGTCCGGCCGGCCGTCCCCGCGAAACGCGCAGACGTCGCCCTGCGCTCCGATGGCAACTCCTTGCGCGGGCGTCGGGCCCTTCTGATCGCCCCGTGTGTGATCTCGCCCTCCTCCATCAGGATGTGCGCCTCCAGGTCCTCCAGGGCTCGTCCATGGATCATAGGCGGGACGTCCTCCTCCACAAGACTGATTCGGGCTACGATTCCTCGTCCTTCCCCTTCATGGGCACCAACACGGCCTTCTGGCTGCAGATCGCCTCCCCAGGGCCGAGCCGGCAGGGCTCGCGCTCCTTCGGTGTCTCGAGCTAGTACCCCCAGTCCTTGTTGACGTACGCAGACAGCCGTCGGTTCCACGTCAGTCCCGCCACGGACTTTGCGCGCGCGATGTCTGCTGCAATCGACCACAACTCGTCACAGGTTTCTGCGGTCACGGTCCGACCGTCCACCGCTGTGGGGATGTCCTCCGGGCTCCGTCCCTCATGGTTGACTGAGCCCCCCTCACCGGGAGCCCTCGGACAATCGGGTTCGTCCTTCCACTGGCCCAACCTGCCGCACCGCTTGTAAGGCAGCGTGAGCTTCAGCTTTTTGACTCTCTCCGCGTTTGTTCCGCCCGCGGCCTTCGCGCCACCGCGGTAAAAGTCGCGGGCCTTTTCAGCCTCAGCGCGGGCCTTCTTGGCCTGGGCCATCATGACCGAGTTGTCCGCCAGAAGGCTTGCAGCTCCTCGGGGGTCCGCTCAGACTCGGCCGCGTCGCCCGGTGTTCCTGGATCGGCCTGAGGGCCCAGTTCTTCGTCGTCGTGCTCCACGTCGTCGGGCCAGTTTGGGTCCTCGAAATCGGCATCAACGTGGCAGTCGGCTTCGCCTCCGGCGTGCACGGGGCGAGATCCGCCTCGGCCGGGACCCCGACCCAGCCTGTGGCGGCCTCTGTTGAGGTATTCTCGGTGCGTGCCACGCCTGGCACCCACAGGTGGCCCCGTTGCCCTCCTGAGCATGGCAGCCCAAGGGATGCACGCATTCGCCAAGTCCTTCAACTTGTCGCAGACGAGCTCGTTACCGGCACCTGTGACAATCTGGCCCTCCTTGTCACCACCCACGCGCGGTTTCTTCAAGAAGTAGTAGGCCTCCAGGTGCTTGTAGAGTGGCTCCTCCATTGCCTCCTCGAGCTCGCGTATCTTCGCTGCGTAAAGAGCCTCGAAGTGCAGTACGTCCTCGCCCACGTTGCGGACGAGTTTCTCGACGAACTCGTCCACAGAGCTGCCTACCTCAGAGTCTCTTGCTGGTCATACTTGCTACGCAAGTAGCGCAAGAACACCCGGACGCCGTCCGGTCTGGCGAGGTCCTCAGGGTCGAGATTCTCCGTCGTAGTCTCGGGGCCTCAGCCGTTGTGGGCCCCAACGTTCTGGAACTGGGGAGGTGAAACGGGTTGGGGAGAAGGATGAGGAGGAGCAACAACGCCAGGCATAAATATTGTATTGTGGAGTAGACAAGTGAGGAGGAGGAGGAGGAGGAGGAGGAGGAGAAGGAGAAGAAGGAGGAGGAGGAGGAGCAGGAAGAGGAGGAGGAGGAGGAGGAGGTGAGGAGGAGGAGGAGGAGGAGGAGGAGGAGGAGGAGAGGAGAAGGAGACGGAGCAGGAGCAGGAGCAGGAGCAGGAAGAGGAGGAGGAGGAGGAGGAGGAGGAGGAGGAGGAGGAGAGGAGGAGGAGGAGGGAGGGAGGAGGGAGGAGCGGAGCAGAAGCAGGAGCAGGAAGGGGGAGAGGAGGAGGAGGAGGAGGAGGAGGAGGAGGAGGAGGAGGAGGAGAAGGAGGAGGAGGAGGAGGAGGAGGAGGCGGAGGAGGACCCCACTCAGGCCAGGGGCTGCCGTGAGTGCCCCGACCGCTGCGCCGACCCCATCCGCCCTCGCGGCTTCCTGCGCCTGCCTCGGGGGCATCGCGCCCTGCCTCGGGGGGGGGGTCTTCCAGCAGGCTCCGCCGCGCTCTCGTGCGGGCGTCGTCGGCAGCTCGGCAGCCCTCGTCCTCCGCAGGCGCCCCTGTCTCGGGGATCACGCGCCGCGCCGTTGCCCTGGCTGCTGCCGCCCAGGCGTCCATGTCGCCCCGCCCCCGCGGGGGTGTCCGCGGCCTCTCCTGAGCGCGGACTGGACATCCCACACTGTGGGCAGCCTCGCCGAGGCTTTTCCCGTCGTGACCCTCGCGACGGCACAACGTGTCGTGGATCGAACCCGCTCGACGGTCGCTCCGCTACCAGTGTCGATGTGGCGCACTTCTTCACCACGCGCGAATGGCGGCCCCTCACAAAGAACAGAGCTGGCGCAGCCGCCCCTCCGACCTCTCTTCGGGGCGGCTTGACCCGAATAGGGCGACGGGAGAGGAGCGTGGGAGAAGATGGCAGTGCAGATCATCAACATAAGCGCACTCCTTCGTCCCAGAAGGCACACGGCGACGGCGCTCCACGAGGCGAAGGCCCACCAAGACCCCTCCTCGGGCGCTGACGGCCTGGGAGAGGACCTGTGCATGGTAGGCGAACGGTCGCGGCCTGCACCCCCCTGCGGGCCAGCAGCGTCGCCCCAACTCACTGGCCTCGCCAGTGCAGGAGCACACCCAACCCCCTAGCGCACCACATCCTGCCGCCAAGCTCAACACCAAGTAACGGGAACCAAAGGCCCGAGTACCAGGGTGCAGGTTCCCGACCGACACCTGCGCAGCCAAGCGATCGGAGACGTGCCCTCCTGCAACGCTTCACCGTGGCCAGGCAACAGTCTGTCCAGGAACGGGACACTGTCCTAACCACGAGCAGCATGGCGCTGCAGCAGCGCGCCTCCAGCCTCGCACGCGCGCTGCATGGCGTCCAGGAACAGCCACATCCCCTCTCATTCACAGGTTCCAGTGAACGTCTGAAACGAGCTCCAACAGGCTCTCCGCACGCCTCTCCCTCCTGGGGCCACTCCCCGGGAGACCTGCTGCTCGCCGCCAGCGCACCAGCGCCAGCCTCTTCTTTGTTCGTGCGCCGCGAGAGCACACGCGTGGCAATCTGTTCCGCATGCCTGGCACGCGGCCGCTGATGGGGCATGCCCCAACGCGGCGCCGTCGTCCCCAAGTCATCGAAGTGCGCATGCCAAAGCGCGCTAAAAGCCGGTGCCCCACTGCAGCACGGGCTCGCAGATGGGACCTGTCACGCCTCCGTCGCCAGCCCCCTCCAGTTCTTTCAGGTTGGGGTCCCTTTTGACGGCGCCACGGGGGAGGTCTTTATTACCACCCCTGCCACTCACATGCACCCCCCCGCCATTTCGAGGTAATTCGGCCAAATAAATTCGAGTACCCAACAGGCCTGGACACACTTTCCCTACGGGTGCGCCCTCCTCCTTTCCCCGCCCCTTCCTCTCACCACTTATGCTCCAAGCGTAGTGGAAGGGAAGGAGGAGGAGGAGGAGGAGGAGGAGGAGGAGGAGGAGGAGGAGGAGGAGGAGGAGTAGGAGGAGGAGGAGGGAGAGGAGGAGGAGAGAGGTCGGAGAGAAGGATCCTCCCGCTCCTCCTCCTCCTCCTCCTCCTCCTCCTCCTTTCCTCCTCCTCCTGCCTCCTCCTTTCTCTCTTTTCCATCCCTTCCCTTCCTCCTCCGCTACCCCCTCCTCCTACCCCCTCCTCTTAGCCCTCCTCCTGCCCCTCCGCCCCCCTTCTCTCTCTCTCCCCGCCAAGCCCCATAAAGGGGTGACAGATGGAAGGCAACACTGCGCCACACTGCCACAATGATTTGCCAAGCCTCTCCTTGTTGACAGCGGTAATGAACTCCAGCTTCGAGATCGTTCCGCCGCCGTCGGCATCGATGCGTTTCCAGATGTCCTTCCACTTTTTGTCGCCGTCGCTGAAGTGGTCGACGAACTCTGCGTAGCGAACGCGCGGGTTGCCGCCTTTTCGTCCCCTTCCTCCTTCCTCGTCGTCGGCGTCCTTCTCCTATTCCTTCTCTTCTTCTCTTCATCCTCCCTCATCCTCTTCCCCTCGCCCTCCTTCCTCTTCCTCTTCCCCTCCACCTCCTCCTCCTCCTCCTGCCTCCCCCCTCTCTGCCTCCCTTTTTCGTTCTCCCCCCCCTCTTCTCCTTTGCCTCCCGCCTCCTGCCGCAGAACGCCCCTCCAAACACGCAACCCGCCGGCTCTCGACGGAAGACGCCCGCGCGCCGACACCTTGGCCAGCACGCCTGCCGCAGGCAGGGCGGACCCCCCTCTGGCGTGCCAGGCGGCACACGAGCGACGCCGCCGAGCGGGGCACCCTGCCCCGCCGCGCCACGCCCTCGCCGGCGCTCCCAAGGCCGAATGGCCCCGCTCCAACTTCCACTGCAATGAGCGCCAACCGTTGGGCCCGGCGTCCGGCGTGGATACAGTAGACACATAATGAGTATCGTTAAACCGATCCCCATCCCCAGCGGCGTGGCCTGGGCCCCACTGGCCGACTTACCCCCTAGATGGGGATGTAGGCCGTTCCCTTCGGGTTTCGAGGGGTGTATCCCCAACTGGGGTGGTCATTTGGTGGGGGTCTCGAAGGGGATGGGGATGGGGATGGGGGTCGAGTAAACGATACTGATCGCTATCGTGAATCTTGAGGCACATGCTTCGTCGGCGCGTTTGAAGGGCCTAGGTGGTGACCTCGGGGCTTCTGCGGGTCCCTGGGGCCAGCGGGGGAGAAGGCCTTTTTCCGTGGGGCACCTGCTGGCAGGCCGATGCTGTGCTTGATGTGTCTGCTGTGCGAGCTTCTTGTCCTCGGCAACGCAGGCGGTCCAAATGCCGCGGCGCACAGCAAGGGGGCGCACGATCCGTGAACCGCGGCCGAAGCTAAGGGGGACAAACGGCGCGGGTGAAGACGCAGTGGTACGAAACATGCATCGCGTCAAGCTTCCAGTTCTTAGAACAGCAAGGGCGCAGCCTTCGCTTCTTGGCTTCAGGAGAAAATAACCGCGCGCCAGGACACTTGGCTGTCGCGCCATCGTCATCGCTCGCAGCCTGGGTGTACGGGCGGCCTCGTCGCTGCCGCCGATCTCGGCGGCCTCTTCGCCAGAGCGCTGTGCGAGCGCCTCGCTGGCAAGTTTTTTGTCGGGCAGAGCCTGCCTCGCCGCGCGTCTCCTCTTGTGCCTCCGCCGCTTCCCGTGCAGAGCCCCTTGCCCACCCAAGGCAGAAGCGCCCAAAGACACTGGCCGTGCGGCTCACGGAAGGTGGAGCAGCGGCAGGTCCCTAGGCCCTTGGAGGTGAAGGCCGTGAGCGACGCGGCCCAATGCGCTTTTGCTTCAGGGAGGCAGCGCGCGCTGGGCATCGGGCTCTGTTCCTGCTACAGCGGGGTCGCCATCTCGCGGCCCATCACCGAGAGACGAAGTTCGCTGACATGTTCCCTTGCTCCTCTCATATGCACACTTCTGCTACTACTGTCCGCTCATGTGTGCTATAAACCTCAATATGCGGCCAAACGCAGGGATCGTGGGCATGCTTAAGTGGCAGACGAACTTGTGCTGCGGGCCAAACTATGTCTGGATCGACATGCAAATCCCGCCTGGGTGCTCTTGCAAAGAGGCTTCCAAGGCGTGGTGCGATGACGAGCCACAAAGCTCTGGCGACACCGTCGAACGGATTGCCCATATCATCATTTGCCCATATCATCATGATGCTTCTGCCCGCTCAACTCAATGTCCGCTGTTCTGTCCTGGTCGCTGATTATTTTCCGAAGCGCCGTATGCCCGCGCCCTTCCGTATATGTTTGGAACCACCGCCGCTCACTCCAGCTTGTCTTTGATTGTTGAGAAGGCCATTTTTGCGTACAGACGTCTTAGGACACTGTCGTCTAGAGCACTCTCGTTTGGCGCTCCAATGAAATGTGTGAAATCCACTTCTTTCTCTATTCAACCTTCCCCGCTCCTGGCCCACAACAATGCAGCAGAGGTCCTGGATAGCACGGTGTAGCAGATCAGGGTCGTGGTCTGCGGCGAACATGATTTTCTTCATTTCGATCGTTCTCGGCCCACGCTGTCTTCTGATAGCCGGGCAAATGTTCCGCATGTCTTCCTTCCTTGGGAAACGTCGCGCGAATTTTCCAGCCACGAGTGTGACCGTGGCACTCCATCCGGATCTCGCTCCTCTTTGTTTGAGCTGCTCGCTGAATGATTTCTGCATCCCTCCCTCATTGAAACAAGCACACACACACACGCTCTCTTTTTTATATTTTTCTCTCTCTCTCTCTCTCTCTGTATGTATAATCCCTCTCTTCATCTGTGATGGGTGTCCCCAAAGAAGCCAGAACATATTTGGATGGCGCATCATTCGTGCTTTCATTCCTAACCCTCGCGTGTGGTTGGATCAACATTGTATCCTAGCAGCGCCGCGCGTCTCAGAAGGCAAGTTTGCATGTCGGCTCTCCGTCAATTTCGACACACAGCTCACTCATTTCGTGCACCGCAAGGGGGCCCCAGTGGGTGCTGCGTCCGCATGCCCATCCCGCCCATTGCGGCACACCACTCACGCGTTTTGTGCCCCATAAGGAGCTCCACCTACGGCCCCAATGACACACTTAGCATGCCGCCCCCGCCCCTCTTGGCACACCCTTCAAACGGATCGTGCCCGATATCGGGCTCCACTTTCGCCCACTGTGGGCAAGTTTGCAAGCCGCCCCCCCCCCCCGCCACACACTTTTCGTGCCCCAGGGGTAGCTCCACCCTGCGGCTCCCGTCACCCTCGCCTTGTGCCCCCCCCGCACGGAGCTCTTACCTACGTCCGAGGTGGTCAAGATTGCATGCTGCCTCCCTGCCCTTTCTGGCACCCTCGTCAAAAGGATCGGTCCCCACAAGGAGCTCCGCCTACGGCCCTAACGGCACAGTCCGCACCATTCCGGCACAGCCGCAACACATGGACAGTGCCACGCATGGAGCTACACCTGCGGCCCCAGAGGCAAAGTCCGCATGCGGCCTCTCCGCCCCATGCCTGCACTGCACCCCCCTCGCATGGATCGGCCACAGAGAGCTCCACCTACGGCCCCAGTGGGCAAGATTACATGGTGGTTCAGCGCTTGTATTGACGCCCCCCAAACTCGGATCGTGCCTTACGATGAGCTCGACCTGCGGCCTGAGTGGGCGCGTTCGCGTGGGGGACCCTCCCGCTCAATTCGACAACCAACCCCCCTCAGGAGAATGGTGCCTCCCAGGAGATTTAGCGCGCCTCTGCGCGCTTGCTCCGCAGGCCCCTATCCGCACTGCCCCGCGCTGCGCAGTATATGAAGAGAGGGCCGCGCCGTCCGCTACACGCATCTTCGTAGGGTTGGGCCCTTCGCAGCACTACTTGTTGGGCGACCCGCAGCTAGCGGGCACGCTTGCCGCACATTCATCCGACTACGCATGAAACGTCTGTGAGCAGCATCGCGTGAAGCCATTCATGCTGGCTTCTAGCTCTTTGTCAGTTCGTTGAGGCGACTCCGCAGCGATTTCCTCACCTAAGCGACAGCTATGGCCGTAACCCAAATCCTCCCTTCACCCTCCTGCTCCTCCCCCTACACCTCCTCATCCCTCCTGCCCCCTCTCTCCCCCCTCCCCCCTTCTGGACCCCCCCCTTCTCTCTCGTCGTCATCGTCGTCTGGGGGTCTCCCAGCTTTTCTCGAAGTCCCCGGACTTCCCCCAAATCCATCCGCAGGCACGGTCTCAAAACCAGGATCGTCGATCCTCGATCAAGGGCAGAAGTTGCACCCCTGGCGGCAGAGGATCCCAACCAATTTCTTCGAGCACCGAGGAGATCACCGTCAAGAGCAAAAGTGCATGAATGCTATGACGATTCCAGGAGGCCAGAGACCACGGGCGGCCACGACCAGAGACCACGGGCCACGACCAGAGAGAGGGAAGGGATGGGAAGGGAGGGGAAGGGAGGAGGAGGAGGAGGAGGAGGACAGGAGAGGAGGAAGGATGGGCGGAGGCGTAGTAGGATGAGGATGAGGAGTAGGAGAGGATGTCGGTAAGCGGAGGGAGGAGAAGACGTAGGAGAGGGCGCCGATGAGGAGGAGCGGAGGAGGAGAGGCTGAGGAAGATTAGGAGGATGAGGAGGCCAGGCGGCGGAGGCGGCTTAGTGAGTCTGCCTATGCTGCGGAGTGAGGCGGCTGAGGAGTCGTCGGCGGATGGAGGAGGTGCGAGGGATGGTAGGCGGATGCGGAGAGGTCGGGGGAGCGCGGGTGGAGGAAGACGGGATCCCGCGAAATGCCCTCCGGCCTCAGAGAAGATATGTGCACGGGACGTTCGCAGACGACCCGTGCAGGGAGAGACCTCGGCCTTCGGCTGCCCCCCTCTCTTGGTGGCGCGCACAAGGGGGTAGGGGGGAGGGGGGCAAAAGGTTCTCAGAGGGAGGCTGCTTCTTCGAAGTCGCCGGCCCTGCACCTACAGAGAAGGCCCGCGCCTTCTAAGGAGCAGGGGTGCTTCTGAGGAGCCCCCGACCCCCCCTTCTGCGCGTGGCTGATTCTCCTCCCAGGCCGCGTGGGATGGCATCGAAGGCCACGCCCGCGGAGCTGAATACGTGCTCGGAGCTGAGCAGCGTGCGGGTGTCGACACCAGGCAGGAGCGACGCGCTCAGCTCTGGGTCCTGGGCTGGGCCCTGGGGGGGACCCGCGCGGCGAGCGCGCTCAGCCTCCTCCTCCCTCCTCCCTCCTCCCTCCTCCCTCCTCCTCCTCCTCCTCCTCCTCCTCCTCCTCCTCGTCTCCCTCCTCCTCCTCCTCCTCGTCTCCCTCCTCCTCCTCCTCCTCCTCCTCCTCCTCTTCCTCCTCCGTTCTTTTTCCCTATAACTAATTCTCCCTATCGCACCCCGCGGCCAGTTTTGAGGGCGGGCTGGGCACTTCGCCTGAGACTTCCTCACCAATTGTCCCTGAAACCTAAAAATAGCAACAGTTTCACAGACGCAAGGGCGGGTGGCTTTCAAAATGTGCTCTCGCCCTAACGCCGCGCACATCAAGTTTAAACATTTGCGATAGTTTCATAGAGTGAGGGTAGGCTGTTTTCAAAATGTGGCTCTCGCCTTAGCGTCGCGTGCATTCGCTTTCAAACATTTGCGAGGGCTTCACGGCGTGAGGGCGGGTCGTTTTTAAAATGTGGCTATCGCCTGAGCGCCGCGCACATTCGCTCCCAAACATTTTCAAACGTTTCACGGAGTGAAGGCGGGCCGTTTTCAAAACGTGGCTCTCGCCTCAGCGCCGCGCACACTCGTTGCCAAATATTTACAAGAGTTTCACAGATTGACGGCGAGCCGTTTTCAAAATGTGGCTCTCGCCCTAACGCCGCGCACGTTAGTTTTAAACATGTGCAAGAGTTTCACGGAGAGAGGGCGGGCAGTTTTCAAAATGTGGCTCTCGCCTAAGCGCAGCGCGCATTCGTTTTATATGTTTGCAAAAGAATTTCACGGAGTGAGGGCGGCCCGTTTTCAAAATGTGGCTCTCGCCTGAGCTCCGCGCACGTTCGCTTTCAAACATTTGCAAGAGCTTCACGGCGTGAGGGCGGGCCGTTTTCAAAATGTGGCTCTCGCCTGAGCGCCATTCGTTTCCAAATATTTTCAAAAGCTTCACGGAGTGAGGGCGGGCAGTTTTCAAAATGTGGCTCTCGCCTTAGCGCCACGCGCATTCATTCGTAAACTGTGTAAAGGTTTCACGGATTTCCCTGATCAGCATACCAGGGTTTGCGTTTTGGAAGGATTCAGGATTATGTAGGTGCAGCAGTTGCGTTGGTTCGCGGTGTTGGGGTCCCAGGAATGGCGTTGTGGCACGATTCAGGACCGTCAAGGCGAAACAGTCAGGTTGATCCGTGGCGTTGGAATCCCGACATCAATGTTTTGGCATGCTTCAAGGTCTTTGAACGGTTGTCTTCCACCCTCAATGGACATGAACTGGTGTAAGGGGCCTACGAAGAGGGAGCTTGGAGGGAGGGTTTATTCCAACATCGTTGATGACTCATCCTGGGTTTACACTGGTCCTCCTCCTTCACCTCCTCCCTCTCTCCCTCCCTCCCTCCCTCCTCCCCCATCTCTCTTTCATCCGTCTTCCTTGTAACGATTTGGCAGTGCGCCAGACAGGGTGGCACGCTGGGGGGCGGCCTTCGAAGAAGCCAATGTGTTTCTTAGAAGGTAGGGCCTTCTTTTCTTAGAAGGCTTTCGAAGCTTTTGGTCAGATTTCTCAGGGGCCCCCTTGCCGTCATCGAGACCCTCCGGCCTTCTTAGAACGCCTGACGCCCCCCCTGTGCTTCCCTCTTGTGTGCGCCGCCCAAAAAAACGCCATCCTGTCGCACCACCAAGCTTGTCTGCAAGCTGGGCTGCAAGTTTCGCTTGAGACTTCCCGACCATCCGCTACGGTGAAGGCGTTGGATAAGGAGCCACTGGATAGATAACTCAAGGCCTGGAAGCCTGTGGAACACCGGCGGAGCAGTGGCCAGGGGTATCACCGCTTCTCGTACCAGGTATGTAAGGACTCATCCAGGGTCTGAAACCCTCATAGGCACATTCTTTAACGAATGCACACACCGTATCCTGTTGCTGGAAAGAGCTCCAACAATTACACGGATTGGGGGCTGGTGGTTCTCAATGTGTGGTTCTCGTCTTAGCGCGGCGCACGTTTCATTAAAAGGTTCCATCATTTGCAAGGATGCGTGTCGGCTCATTGTTAAAATGCGACTCTACCTGGGGAACCACTCAAATTGTACGACCAGGGGTTGCAAGCTGTGCAAGATGCACACATTGAGGGCAGTTTGTTTGTTCTTTCTTTCTTCTTCTCAGCATGGGGATATCGCTCAAAGCTTCCACCACGACAAAAAAACAAATTCTGACATTGCGTAAACGTTACACGAGTGGAAGGTAATGGCTTTTGTCATACCAAAACAATCGTTGGATACGTCCTCGAAGCGTATCATTATGTCCATTCCTCGAACAATGTTTGCACTTAGAATATGTTCCTTTTCCTTTCCATGAGCATCGGTCTGGCGGCTCCGTGCTGGCCGTCGCCGCCCCGTCGCCATCTCGTCGCCGCCCGTCGCCACGGCCCCGAATGTTGGTTTGGCGGCTCCGTGCTCGCCGTCGCCGCCTCGTCGCCGCCTCGTCGCCGCCCGCCGTCTGGGCCTGATTGTCGGTCTGGCGGCTATGTTGTCGCCGTCGCCGCCCCGTCGCCGCCCGTCGCCTGGGCCTGATTATCGGTCTACTGGATCTGTTGTCGCCATCGCTGCCCCGTTGTCGCCTCGTCGGGGCCTCGCACTTTTGCGCCACGTAGATTCCACCACATGGATTGCTCCACATAGGTTGCACAACATAGATTGTGGTTTAAACAAAAGATTCGGATCTACCGCCCCCTCAAGGCCAGGATTTTCCGCCCGCGTCGGGGATGTACAGTTTACATATGATTTCCCAACGTGATTGTTTCAAGAAAGGTCTGCGCGCGCGCCCTTGCGAATTCTTGAAACCCCCCTGCGGATGTCTCAACATTTTCGTTACATGCGGCCAATCGGGCCCTTCGCGCGAGCATGGCAAAATCATTCGAACGCCCTTGCGCGCGTGCTGGCGGGGCACGGTCCGTCAAATAACACCATGCGGACCACTCGCGCCTGTCGACCGCGCACGCATGCCGAAATCCTTCCAAGACTTTCTTCACCGACGCGTGGACACAATCATCTCCATCGGCGTGAATCGGCGCCGTCATTGGCCTTACTCTCGTCATCGTTATCGTCGTCACCAGCATCGCTACAATCATCATCGTGTCTGCAATTGTCGACGTCGCAATTGATACCGCGCCCGCCCGAGTCAACGACTCGCACTGATGTGCCCGCGCGTCCGCGCGGCCTGCGAGACGCGCTAGGAAATTCCCACCGGTCAGCGCCACCGCGGCCGTGGTGGCTCCAAACTAACTGGCCGCTCTGCGCGCGAGTCTGCGCGCGCCAACGCGGCCGCAGCGAGGCGCCAGGCAGCGCCAAGCAATCATCGCAAGCACCGCCGCATGTGCTTTGAAAACCAAGTTGCGGGTGACTGGGCGGGATGATTACGCGAGCAGTGGGAGTGACATCAAGCTCGGCAGGATGATTTGCACCACGTATATTACTCCACATGTATTACACAATGTAGATCGCAAAACAAATATTCACATCATATTTTGCACCGCGTAGATTGCACAACATATATTGTACGACGGCGGCTGCACAACATATATCGCACCACATGTACAGCACCGTATAGACTGCACCGCATAAGTTGCACACCGTACATTACACCACATATATTGTACAACGTATATCACTTGAGACACAATGCTGGGTCCACGCTGACTAACATGTGCGTGTTTCTTCTGGGTAGAACTTGGAGTCTGAATATTTTGCAACACAGGGGCTCGCCTGAGTAGCAGGCCTGCTAAGCGCTCATCATTCAAGGAGGGCGCTTCCCGAGGTGGAAAAGAATATCTGGCGGGACTTATGAGGGGACTTGGGGCGGGAGTGTGCATTGCAGCATCGTTGATGCATCCTGGGGCTGCTCTGGTCCTCTTTCCTCCTCTCCTTCTCTTTTGGCTTTCAGGCCCCCCCCTCGTTTTTTTTTTTTTTGTTCCTCTCTCCCTCTCTCTTATTTTCAGCAGTCAGCCAAGGAAAGGCTGTATGCCTAATGCGATCCAAACCATGTGTTGGTCGATCGAACCCGTCTCCAGCGCGAATCGGCACTGCAATGGCAAGATGCGCATGCCACGGAATACCTCTTAGAGGCGGTGTGGACATGAAGTCGGTGATTCAGAGATGATGGTTGCCAGCCGAGCCCAGCCGTGGCCCTCGTGGCCGCGGCTGGATGCACCTCGCAGAATGGGTCAGCAGGGATCCCAAGAGAAGCCTCGGAACCGATTCGGAACGGATTCTGCCCAGACCCCCAGCGCCATGAAAAGATCACGACCGCCGGTTCTTCAAAGCTTGGGCCCTGGGGAGCCCGGTTTGAGCTTCGGGGCCATCCGAAGACGGCCCAGGATGAAGAACCAATCGCTGGGACGGGTTCGACAGGTCCAGACTGGGCGTATCCTCAGCTCCTCTGCCTAATCTCAGGTCGGGCATGTCTCCCTACAGGCGGATTTTGGCCGAAAAATAAAATATAGTCAAACATCATTCGAAAATTGTCAAAATAGTCAAAACATCGTGCCCCGACTACTTTTTGACTATTCCTGAAGCAGGGGGACACGCCCGACTCAAGCCTAATCTGCTGAGCCTCACTCCTCACCCCTGAGGACTCTTTCTAAAGGACCCGGACCCCTCGCTGCTCCTCCTCCTCCTCCTCCTCCTCCTCCTCCTCC